GAGAAAGTCTATTGTATCTAGTCATATTTTCACTCCTTCTATTTTTAGTTTTTCTTTTTGATGTTTTAAGATTCCATCTATTATTATTTCCTTTCTGTTTCAAGAACTTCCTTCAAACCATTCTTTCAGGGCAGATCTCCTGGAGACAAATTCACTTAGCTTTCCTTCATCGGAGAATGTCTTTTTTCTTTTATTCTTGAAGTACACTGGACAGGGCAAAATTCTTGGTTTAAAAATCTTTTTTTTTTCAGTACTTAAAAAATGTTGTGTCACTTCCCTCTGGTCTCCATGGTTTCTGATGAGAATTTTGCTGTCATTCTAACTGTTTGTTGCTTATAGACATGGTATTGTTTCTTTTTGGCCACTTTCAAGATATTTCTTCTTTAATGTTCAAGAACTTTATTATTATGTGTTTTGACATGGATTTCTTCAGGTTTATCATGTTTGAGATTTTCTCATTTTTTTTTTAAATTTGTAGGTTTATGTCTTTTACCAATTTTTCAGTCATTATTAGTTGGAATGCTTTTTGTTTTTCTCCCATACTTTTTCTCCTCTTTCTGAAACTTTTATAACATGAATGTTAGATCTTTTTAACATGAATGTTAAAAATGTTAAATCTTTTGTTATTAGTCCTACAGGTCTTTGAGGCTCTGTTCATATTTTTTCTTTTTCTTTTTCTTTTTTTTTCTTTTTTTTTTTTACTGTATTGTTCAGAATGGGTCATTTCTATAGTTCTGTCTTCAAGTTCACTCTGTTGTGTCCATTCTGCTACTGGGCCTATCTAGTGAGCTGTCCATCTCAGTTATTATATTTTTTCAGTCCTAAAACTTCCATTCAGTTCTTTATATCTTCAGTTTGTTTGCTAAGACGTGCATTCTACTTTGTCTTTAGTTTCAAGTGTGATTGTAATTGTGTGTTTAAGTGTTTTTATGATAACTGCCTTAAAATCTTTGCATGATAACTCCAACATTTGTTGATATCTGTTGATCACTGACACCACACTGGCTGAAGGGGGAGGAGCTCCTCTACTTTTGGGCAAGGATGAAAGTTTCAGCACCCCACTAGCCCTTCTCTGATACTACTCCTAAGAGGGAGAGGGATGCCTCTTCAGAGCTGTGCAAGCGTGGAAGAGTCCCCGCTCAGTCACTGCTCACAGGGGCATAAGTGGGGCCAAGTAAAATAGGGTCTAAAAGTTTTCTGTCTCTCTAGGTTGCTCCTTTCCTGTTCCTTCGGCTAGACAAAGCAGATTTTTCTTGGGTCTTTTAAAAAATCTGTTTTTCCATTTTTTGTTTTTTGTTTTTTTTTCCTTTTTGCATTTCTGAGATGTCAGTTTCTCTAGCTTCCAGTCCAGGACATATAAGGCCCAGGATATTTACTGCTCTGCTATTCTTCAGGTCCTAAAGTCCCTAGCTGATCTGCCTTCTTTCCAACTTTCAGAGTTTTCTTATGTTTGTTTTATATAAAACGTCAAGGATTTTTAGCTGCACTTAGCAGGAGGAATAGGGAGAAGTGAGTCTATGCCATCTTGTCTCAAAACCAAAAGTCATTTTTTAAAAGTAAAAGTATGTAAGGATATCAAATTTTCTAAATATGACTTTGACCAAATCTCACAGATTATAAGTAGTGGTATCATTTTTCATTTCTAAGAAGCATGTAATTTCAAATTTGACTTTCTCTTTAATCTAATAATTATTTGGGAAAAATTTAATTCCTTTATAGTTAGATTCTTTTTTAACTATTCTGTGTTAATTAGTTTTATGTCACATATCGGGCAATATCGTTTGTATGATTTCTACTTTTTAAACATAAACATTCTTTGTGTGTTCTGCCTTTTTGGATACATGGTTATATATACACCCATAAACACAAAAACCAAGTTTGTTACTCCTCTATGTCTTTAATTATTTTGTATAATTGATCTGTGACATTCTGATAGAAGTATGTTGTTGTTTCCCATCATGAATATATAATAGTTTTGTCATATTGTCCCTAAATTTTCCTAAATACTTGCTTTATACATTTAATTCACATTACTCAGTACATAAAAGTTTATACATGTTATATCATGTTGGTATACTATTTATCAATATAAAATATCCTACTTATCCCATTTACTGATTTTTGCCTTGAATTTTATTTGCTATTTTTCATATCAATACTGCTACCACTGCTTTCTTGTCAGCATTTACATGATATATCTTTACATATTCCTTTCTTCCATCTTTCTGTATGATTTTATTTTAGAGATATCTATTGTAAATAGCATCCACCTGTATGCCATTTATGTATTATTTTTGCTTTTTTATGTATTACAGGAATCTTTGTCTTTAACATGAGAATTTAACCAATCCACATTTCAATGTGATCACTAATGTTTGTTCTCTTTTCACCAGCACAAAATTTTCACTGGCAAAAACACACTGCTGTTGGTAATGTGGGCTTCAGGGACTGAAATATCTGGTTTGAGGCCTGGCTCTATCACTTACTAGCTTTGTGACTTTGGATAATGAGTACCTACCTGAATAAGAGTGTTATAGAGATTTCAAAATAATTTATTGAAAGCACTTAGCTCAGTGCCTGGCACAGAGAAAGTATTCAGTAAATATTACAGTTATTATTGCTATTGTTACTGTTGTTTTTGTTATGTGACCACATATCAAGTACAAAAAATGCTTGATTTAGGCCTAGATCTTTAGTTTTATTCTGCTTCCCAAGCTGTGGCTATGTATCTCATCCCAACTCTCAGGTATTTCAATTCTGAAATCTCTTTGTCACTACAAGCTTATGTCCCTTTGTAACTGGCTTCTTCGTATAAAATGTCCCTGATTCTATCAATGCAGCAACATTTACCTAGTGCTATGATCTGAATGTACCCCTAAATTCATTTGTTGAAACTTAATCACCAATGTGATAGCATTAAGAAGTAGGCCCTCTAGGGTGATTAAGTCATGAGTGTGGAGGCATCATGGATGGGATCAGGGCCCTTATAAAAGGGCTTAAGAGAGTGGGTTTACTTCTTTTCTGTCCCTTCTACAATGTAAAAACATATGTGTGTCTGCTGCAGAGGATGAAGCAGCAAGGCACCATCTTAGAAGGAGAGATTTCAGGTCCTTCCCAGACACCAAACCTGCCAGCACCTTAATCTTGGACCTCCTAGCTTTCAGAATAGTACAAAATAAAATTCTATTGTTTATAAATTACCCAGTTTTTGGTATTTTGTTATAGCTATCTTAATTCATCCCTTGTATCTAGTTAGCCAATACTTGACTTGGGTGTTGCTTAAAATGACTCATATCTTTCTTTTCCATTCTACTTTTATTACCTCCAATCCAGTGTACCTTCTCTTCACCTCATATGTGGAGACATCAGTCTCTCCTCACTACAATGTCTACTGTCATCAATAGTCCCCAAACATCTTTTTATCATATCACTCCTTGCTCAAAACCTTTTGATAGTTTCAGACTTCTGAGAAAAATCTATATTAAATATCTTTGCTTATTTTCAAGGTCTTCATTATCGAACCCTACCTTACTTTTCCCATTTTGCTTATAATTATACTCCAACACACAAACTCCACTCTATTCAGGTGGGTCACTTCATTCTCCTCTCACAGGTCAAGTTCATTCTTGCCTCTAGGCCTCACTCATGGTATTTTCCTCCTCACTTACGGTACCTTTCCTTCTTCCCTCCTGTCATCTGAATACTATCCATTCCAAAAAACCTAGTTAAGTCCTACCTCAGTTGAGAAATTTTCTTTGTCAACTGGATCGCCTTCTCTGTAAAATACCGATCTAATGGTTTAGTAATTCTTTATATATTGTCTTAAAATTGTTTCTATCATTCTTGCATATTAGCTTTTCGTCTCCAATTAGACCTTATACTTTCTGAAGACAATTCTGCAAATATAGTAGTTTTTAAATGGGTACTTGTGTTGTCTTAAGTAATGAAGAAAGACAAAGAGAAGAAAGACTACCCTACTTCCTCAAATCCTGTGATATTGAAGCACTTTTGAGATGTGACCAAAATCCCTAACAGTCTGGATTTTGAATGATTTACAATAAGGAATTTTTCTTTAATGAAAAGGAATTCTATGTACTTTGGCAGTACAAACAGGCCTTTGGAAGCAACAGGAGAAACACAGAAAGGAAGCAGTCGCTTCAGTATTGGCTCTAGTCCTCCAGGAACTGAGAGAATAATAAAACCTTTCACCCAGTTTCAAGTAAGCAATGTTAGGAAATCCAGTCAAAAAAAAAAAGAGGAAACATAAACCAAAAGCCTTTTGGCTTCTTCCCCTACTAGATTTTACAGCTTCAGTTAGACAGGCTTTGGAAGAAGCAGCCTGGGAAATTATCTATAAAGTCTTGATGTACCACTGGAGTAAGAAATATGCAGATACAGTATTATTGTCTTTAAAAATAATTGTATGAATAAAGTTTCTGAAAATTGACCTAGAAACTAATTAGCTAAAGTAACCACCAACCAAGTTTTAGGTTATCCTCTGCTACATTTTTTGAATTATAGCTCTCAAACTATGTGAAAACTATTCAATTATAGCTCTGAAATTATTGTGTGTTGATTTATGTATTACATATAGTCTGTCTTCACCTTCTAAAGCATAAGCTCCACGAGAACAGAAATCTCATCTGCCTTATTCACTCCATGTGTCCCCAGTGCTTAGAAAAGTGCTTGGCATAAAATAGGAGCCAATAAATACCGCTGAAAGAATAAATTATAAGAAGTAATTCTCTAGAAACACCAAGATGTTGAAGGGCTAAATCTATGACTTATTTCCAAAATACATTCATTCCTTGCCTCATGCAGCCCTTACCAAGCATGCTGTGTGAGACGGGGAAGGTGATGGTGGGCTGGCCTGTCATCCGCCAGCGGCTACAGAGGTAGGAGAGGTCTGTTCTAAGCATTTCCACTATCATCTTGTTGTCCAGAGCCAGGTAGAACTGTTGCTGGTCTATAAACTGAGACAAATAAAAATAATAGCTCAGAATAATTTACTCTCACAATTATCAAGTAATATTTTAAACTACTCACATATTCAGAAGAGTATCCAAGGTGTCACAGGGCAATGATATCCCCAAATTTAATGTCTAATACATTCCAAGGTATCTGGTGGTTAACTGGCACATATAATGATTTCCGACATTTTTATGGTATGCTACAGTTTACAAAGTATTTTCAAGTATATAATTTTATTTAATCCTATAACCCCCCAGTGAGGGTTTTTCTTCTTTTAATAGATGAAAAATTAGGCTAAGAGATGATATGTAGATTAGCAAAATCATATGGCTAGCAAATGGCAAACTCAGAAACAGAATCTATGGTCCATTACTCTTTTGTCTATTCCTACCTCAGCTGCACTATTTCAAATGTAAGATGACAAATGGGGAGTTTAAGCTTTCTTTCCAGAAAATAGTTTCTCCTCCCCATAAACACAGATAATCAGGTTTGTTATTATCATGTAGCTAATAAACATCAGGCTAACAACGTGTTTAGTAACAGCTAAGAGGACTGACATTTTTGTTTAGAAGAGGACACTGAAGATTTCTATGAATGTAAAAAGGGCCCTTCCTCCAAACAAAGAAAAGATAATTCAGTAGCTGAATAAAAAAGGTTGTATTTTGTTTATAAAGGACACATACAGTTTTATTTTTAACTTTTAAAAGTAAGGATTACTTTTGTAAGTACTCTAGCATTTGTAACATCCTTAGTTTCTGCAATACCCACGGGTACTTTTGGCAGTTACAATCACTTAGCGAAACTCTGTGCTGGAAGCTCAATTCAGTTCAACTCTATAAATATTCACCGAGTAAGTTACGTGCAAGGCCTGGTGGAACTCTTTGACACTTATCCCAACTCCAGTAAATGCTTTACTTCTCCAATGTTTTTCTTTTATTTCCATTCATCTCAATGCACATTCAAGCTATTTCACCCACCTGTGGAGTGAAAGTAAAGATAGTTTTCCGAATGTCATAGAGTTTTGAAGTTCCAAGCACTCCCATGTGTCTGTAGGGTCGTCCACTGAGTTTCATTCTATTGTTGCATCCTGATACAGAATTGAGAAATGGTAAAGATATTTCTAGAGCACAAATCAAATCAGCAAACATTTTTACATATATATATACATACACATATACATACACATACACAATGCATGTATATACATATAGACATACACACATCCACTGTATTTCCTTGAATTTAAGTTGTCTTCTTTTTACAGTTTAGCATTCTGAAATTGGAATCCATCCTATAATTGATGTCTATGTTAAACGTAGCTGAATTTCTTTTCGTCTTCCAAAAGGGAGTTATAAAATCAATACCTCTTATGATGAGAAAATAGTTTATTCACACACATATTTTTCTTTTATATCATAAGGATAACACTGTTTATATTGTTCTAAAACTTTTTCCCCCAAAACACATACTAAATATGCTTTCATGTCAGTACTGACAGGACTATTACTTTTTTATTTTTTGACTAGAACACATTTTTCTTGGGAATTTAATTTTTTTCATTTGCTTTACCTAAGTGTTATACTTATCAAGTATGTCAGTTTTAGTGTTGCTGCACCAGAGAATTGTCAAAGCCTTGGTCATATTCCAGGGTTCACTCTGTAAAGCACACATTTTACCTGAGATTGATGTCACAACCAGGTTTTTCCACTATTCCTTCCTTTTTGTTTCTATTTAATACTGTAAAATATATACAACATAAAATTTACCATTTACTATTTTAACAACCTTAAGTTCAGTGGCATTAAGGACATTTACATCATTGTGCAAACATCACCACCAACTATCTCCAGAACTCTTTCATCTTCCCAAACTGAAACTCTATTCATTGAACAGTAACTTTTCATGTCCCCTGCTTCCCAGTCTCTGGCAACCACCGTTCTACTTTGTATCTCTATGAATTTGGTATCTCATATAAATGGAATAATACAATATTTTTCCTTTTGTAACTAGCTTATTTCATTTAGCATAGTCTTCGAGGTTCATCTATGGGTAGCATATGTCAGAATTTCCTTCCTTTTAAAGGCTTAATAATATTCCATTTTGGGTATACATTTTGTGTATACATTGCATACTGTTTATCCATTCATTGATGGACATTTGGGTTGTTTCCACTTTTTGGCTATTGTGGGCAATGCTGCACATTGATGTAGAAAATGTCTGTTCAAATGAGATCACTTGGACACAGGAAAGGGATCATCACACACCGGGTCCTATCTTAGGGTGGGGGTGGGATAGCATTAAGAGATATACCTAATGTAAATGA